TGTTAGATTCAGGTCCTTTTTTAACCTACCCCAGTCACAAATACATGCAAGTATGGTTTCTCTTGCATATTGATCAGCTGTGCCCTCTGCTTGACAGGAATGCAAATACTCTGCACTTGTGTTACTCATTATGGATCCAGAATGATGGCCTTACTATTGCTTCACAGTGAAATCTGATTTGAAAGCAGGAAACAGCACATTGTCAAAGCAGAAAACAAAAGAAAAGGCTAACTCCTGTTTCATTATTGCAATTTACAAGACCTCCGTATTTCAAGAAAACCAAAGAAGCCTACAAATCCGAAGTAACAAGTGTTGGTAACACATAATTTCCTTTTCAGACTGTAATTGTCACCAAAGTAACAAACTAGGAAAGCTATTTTCTCATCAACAAATAGCCACAAACCATTCAAAACTGGAGACTTACCTAATCACTTACATAAAGTGGAAAAACAAGTCAAACCAGCAATGGAACACTTTTCTCAGAAGCTACACATTTGAAACCTTTGTTCGTGGGACAGGTTGCTAAATCCTCCGGATCCACAGTGCTCACACAAGCTGGCCAAAGCTGAAGAGAATCACAGTCCTGAGTTTCAAACACAGGAGCAGTGCTCGTGCTCTTTTCTCTGCATGTACTTGTTGATTTAAAGTCCTAAGGAAGAAGGAAGGCTGCTCTTTGGTAAACATGTGACAACCACTAAAGGAATGCTAGTCAGAGAAACAAGATAAAAGCAGCCTATGCTGCTTTCATTAGGGTTTATTTAGAAAGTACTACCTTACCTGTACCTTTCCTACTGCTCTCACCTTATGAATGCCAGGTCTTTATTCAAACAATTATCCTGTTAGTGAATTTACCTAAAAAAAAAAAAAAAAAATTACAGCTCAGTTATCAAGAAACTGTGATTTTTTTTCTCTCCTGTAGCGAAATACTATTTATTACTCGAATTCACACTCTGGTCATAAATATTTTGGATCTTCTTTAGAAATGTACTTTTTCCATCCTGGATTCCTACAGGTTTACAGAGAAAAAGAGTGGAAAAAGTAAAGTAAGAATCACAGCAGGCATCCGGTCTAAACCAAAATGTTTCCTCTCTAGGGAGCAGTCTATTCCTAGCATTTGCCAGGCCTCAGTCAGCCGTTACCTTTCTTGATCAGCTCTACGCACTCTCTAGCTGGGGCCCTGCTCCATTGCTATGGGCTCCCAGGCTGGAAGAGCAAAGCTGCACCAGCAGCTCCATGCTTGCTGATGGGATTTGTATACACAGACATAAAACCTGTTCTTACAGCCAAAGGAGCAAGCGCAGGACTGATCCTAATGCATACCAGGTTATATACCTACTACACAGCCATGAACCCTTAGAGATTTCGTCTTGGAGACTGCCTCTTACAGAGACACAATTCATTGCAAGAATAAAAAGAAAAAATAAGAAATAGTAGAGAATGGACTTCAACTCCTGGGTATTTTTTTTCGGGGGGGGGGGGGGGGGGGGGGGTGTTAAAAAAAAAAACAAATCCAAACCTTAAAGTATATTTTAAGGAAGGCTCTGTTACACCTGCAGTGAGATCATGTCCTGTTTTCACTATCTACACAACTGATGCTTTGAATGTGCATTTTGGACACAGATTTGATTCCCAGTAGAAGGGCTACATTTCCCCAGCACCCAGGGCAAATCCATCCCCACTGTCTCAGCCTACAAAAGGTCTCTTTGCAGAGAAACTGGAGCTCTTCCCAGCAATTTACTAACCCATGCAAAATTTTGTTTCCGGTTTCTAAAATACCTGGTGGTCCTCAAAAACAGAATGAGAAGGCTGCAGAGTAAAATCACACATCTGAACCCAGCAGCTCACAATGTTCAAAACATCAGAGAGCACTGCAAAAGTGGGCAGAAAATGGGGGGAAGGAAGGGAGCACTACCCACTCAGCAGGGGCTTGCAGACCTGGCTGCTCACAACCAAAAGGGCTTGTGGCCCCACTGCCTGCAGCTCTTTGTAAATTGGCTCTAATCAACTATCAGCAGTATCTTGCCTCTCTAAGGTAAACTGCTCCCTGAGGCAATTTTCTGCAGGTGTTCCTAATGCAGCTCTTTTTTTCCCCCAAAAAAGGGCATTCTGATGATCTTGTTTATAAAAGCTGCTACCTGGCAGATCCCTGAAGAGTAGTCCAGGCTGGCATCTTCAAAATAAAAGCTACTTAGAAAGAGCTCAAGAGGGGAGAAAAGTACTCATTGAGTAAACATCATGCCACTTAACTTACATGAGTCTTACCACACCAGATTCCCCATGGATCTGGCAGTGTCTTGTTTCCTGGGCTGTATGATGGCTGCAGGCAAAAGGCATAGGATGGGGAGAGCCCTGGTGAAAGGCCACAGTTGGAGACACATGCTTTGCTTTCAGCAGGGCTCTTTTCAGACTCTCTTCCGTCTCTGTGATGCCAGTATGCATGGCTGAGTGATCATGCTGATCAGCCATACGAGGTCCCAGAGCAGGCAGGCGGCAGCCATGGCACTGAACTAAAAATATGCAAGGGCACAGCAGAGCAACAAGGGAAAAGCAAAGCCTAGTTCTATCAGGCTAGTCACTGAAACCAACCGATTGAGCAGCTTTCACACACTGCCCAGGAGACTTGCCTTGTCTGCTAAGCCAGTGGGAAATCTCCCTTTCTAATTCAGGAGCAAGCACCAATCCCTTGAAGATTTGCAGGGACAGGCTACCAGGACAGGGCCGGGGCAGTTCTGCCCGCATGTCTGTGGGTGCCCCGTTCCCTGTACTTACACTTAGTCCTAGTCCTGCGTGATTGAAAACAAATGTTGAAACAAGGAGGCACAAAAGTACAAAATGTAATCAGTTCTAAGTGATGTTAAGTTTGATGGTTTTGTAATGGAAAATAACTGCGGTGCTTGAAGGTAGTTGACATAGTTTCAGGCCCTCAGGACCTCAGTACAAAAGGTGTGAGAAAAGCCAAAGAGAAGGACAGGACCTGGGGATGGGGAGTATCTGGGACTAGCAGATGTCCAGGGTGGGCACAGATAAACTAACTGATAAGTAAAAGGACAGGATGATTGCTATGCTTGAGGTGTTAATAAACCCATTAAACTGGTGTAAGCATCTACTAGGGAGTACCCCGGACTAGCAGATGTCCAGGATGAGAGCAGTCAAACTAGCTGATAAGTAGAAGGCCAGGATGATTGCTATGTCTGTAATGTTCATTAAGCTTGTTGGGAAAAGTAAACGACCCTTAAAGACCACCACAGTTTTGTATGCATGCCGGAAACTTTTTGGAAAATGATGTAATATGCTCAGTGACCATCTAAGGATGACCTGTATAGCAATTCGGGGACACACGTTAGGAGGAGCTCTCCCCCGTGTCTCCCGGCGCCGCAATAAAGAATACCTGCTTGTCAACTTGAAACTCTGTTGGCGAGCTTGTTCCTGGAGTCTTCTCCGAATCACAACTGAGTCCACATAATACTTTGGAAACACCAAACTAGAGAGCCTGTGGGTTACATGAGTCCCCGTTTGCAAGCAAGAGTATAGAGAAGAGCAGATCTAAATCTCAAAAAATGCAAGCAAAGAGCCACAGGCAATGGCTCTGCCAATGAAAATAACCAAAACAAGAATGCAAATACCAAGTCAGCACATAAGCTAAAGCAGTGTAGCCGGACGGATGAGAGAAACAGACCTGGAATACAGGCAATAGCATTCACTCTACGATGGGAAGTGATGAGAGGCAGAGAGGAAAATACCCACCTAACAGCTATCTTGACAGAGATGAAGGAGACAGAACTAAATATCCCGGGAAGGAAAAAAAAAAAAAAAAATCAGCAAACAGCAACACATGCACTGATTGAGAACACTGACAAGAGGAAGATGCCTCCAGAGTGGCTTTAGCTAATTCAAACACTTGCCATGTACAAACACTACAAACTAATCCCAGCAACACTGATAAGCCACAGTATCAGACTGTAGGTCCAGCTGCTCATGATACACAGTAAAACCATTTGGAAATGCCTGAACAAATGCCATAAGGAGCTCAAAACACCAGGAATGTTATCACAAAACTTTCACAGTACTTGACATGCACAAGCACTGTCATCTGTCCATGCTCAGCACTTGTGAATGACAGCCTGGAATCTGCCTGGAGGGCACCACCACAAACAGGGGAAAGGAGGATGCCAGGGCTGTGTTGCCAACCCAGCCCAGATCCAGCCATGCTCTGAAACAAAGATTTGTCTGGATGTAAATATGGGGGGGGGGGAAGGGGGAATAAATACTTTAACAAGGGACAGCAAAACAATGCTCCTCAAAACCTTTCAGTTACTCTAAAGAGAATCTCAGTTGCATTGGGGAATGCCCATGCCCCAGAAAACACAGGGAATCACACTTTTAGAGTCTGTACAACTCCACTGAATGCAATATAGCTATGTACCAGCAATGAAAAGAAAATCAAACACTTAAAAGATAGCTATGAGACTAACAGTGCAAGCAAAAAGTACAGGAGGGATTTGCCATCAGTAAAGACATGGTTGCAAGGGTAGTCCAGCTCAAGATTTGACTGGAGGGCTAAAAAAAGGTTGTGCTTTCAGTGACAAAAACATGCTTTAGATCATAGAAGTGACAAAAAAGGACACAAAAGTCATTAAGAGAAACAAGAACAAGAGAAGCTGCCAAGCAAAGAAGGCAGCTTCTACAATACAGACTCCAAGGACCATAAACAACATAGCAGAGAGGGGTATCTGGGCTTCACTTGTCAATCAATTGTGAGAAGCAATGGAAAATGTCAGCGGAGGGCCTCCAGGGTTCAGGGTGGTGAGAAGATGAACCAAAAGAAAGTTGTAGCACATTAAGAGACAGGCTACATAACTTTCCGTGGCAATTTCGTTTATTTAATTAAGTGTATTAATGCTGGCAAATCAGAGATTTAATATTTGTTACCAGAAAGGGAATAAATGTGATTTTTTGGAGCATCATAATAAAACTGAACATCAACAAAACAAGCAAAGTACAGCCCACTTACCCCCTTCCTGCAGAAAAATGACATCAGAAGTGGGCTCAGAGGACCACCTGGGAGCTCATATATAGGCCTGGCTGGAAGAAAGAAAAAAACCCAAGTCACCCCTCATGTCATTCTTGACAAGGATGCCAGCAGCACTTGCTCCCCTCAGGACAGTGCCACAGCCTCTGACTAGAACCCTTTGCTGACCTTTGCTTCAGCACCAGCACAGACCACGCTAACACAAATGAGTTTGGCTGTGTGAGAAAAATAAGGGTTTGTACACATTTATTCTGCTTTGTTTAATTTTATCTTATTTCACAGTGCATCTTTGAAAATCCTAATAGATGGCAGTTCACATCATTGAATGATTATTAACTGCTGCAGCATGGTAAATGAGAACCTCAGCTTAAGTGTCAAGTTCCAGTTTTCAGCAGTGTCAAATGTTAACTTCAGAAGTTATCTAAATAAAAATTAAGACCTTTGAATAAAACTACTTTTAAACCCTAAAGAATAAGTTTTGACTCTATTGCTCAGCATAGGTATTTAGTTTCTGGGAGAGATTTCAGCTAAATTTTAATAGTGTGGTAAAACTTCCGAGTGTGATTACTTTGTCCTGGGTTCAGCAGTAGCAGTCATGTTTCTCCTCCTTGGTAGCTGGTGCAGTGCAGTGTTTTGACTTTCAGCTCAGGAGCAGAGCTGATAACAAGGATGTTTTGGTTTGGCCAAGGACTTTGTGAGCCTCATGCTCTGCCAGGGAGGAGGGGAAGCCAGGAGGAAGCAGAGACAGGACACCTGACCTGAACTGACCAAAGAGGTATTCCACACCACAGCACGTCATGCCCGGGCTGGGGGGTAACTGGGAGTGAGCCGGAAGGGCTGGGAGACTGCAGGGTTGGAGGAGGTATGGGTCGGTGCTTGGTCAGGCTGGGGGAGGGGGGGGGGGGGCGTGGTGAGTTATCGGTTGGCTGGTGCTGAGGTGTTGTATTCTCTTCCCTTGTTATTTCCTTTATCATTATTATCATTGGTGGTAGCAGTAGTGATTTGTGTTATACCTTAGTTACTAAACTGTTCTTATCTCAACCCGTGGGAGTTGCATTCTTTTCGATTCTCCTCTCCGTCCGTCCCCCCGGGGGTAGGGGGAGGGAAAGAAGGGGGGGGAGTGAGTGAACGAGTTACCTGACTGGGTTTAAACCAGGACAAGTTAAAGCATCTACAGAACCTAGGTTTTAAATTCCCACTTGAACTATCTAAGTAAAGTAACTTGTAATATGTTTCAGAGCTTCTAATAATTAAAGTTTACAGTAAATCCACAGAATTCAATAGAATTAACTGGCTACAAATCTCAGAGCATAAAACTGGCTTGCAGAGGTAGCATGTCAGTGACATCCAGCCTTTCTGCAAGGTGCCAACCATTGAGCAAGCTGATTAGTCAGTCTTTGATTAACTGGCTGCTGTGTAAGAGTCAGGGTCAATCTACTCAATTAGGTGAAGGTCTGGTGGACATCAGAGATGTATATCAAAACCTACAGCAAAAGCTTCAACACAAGATGAGAACATACCAGCAGCCTTTCTTCTCTGCAAGGATCCCTCTCCCGCAGGCAGCCTGCTCTCCAGCCATAGCCGTAAGTGGATGCTGAGGAAAAAGCAAAAGCAGAACACCACAGGTGCATTGAGTAGCCTTCACACCTCCAACCATATTCATTTCCAAGGATTTTTGAGCCTGACATGGTTAATTGTTTTCTTCCAGGTACTTAACTAGCTTCCCACTGAACTCAGGTACACTTTTTGTGCCCACCAGAGATCTCTTCAGCAGAGACCTCTGCAGACCTACCACCCACTGCATGAAGGTCCAGCTCTTTCTGTTCCTCCTCAAGCTGGCTTCCTCTGGTAGCCTCCAGGCCTTGTGGGGTAGCGAAAAGCAGTCCCTGCCCACCTCCCCATTACTACTCACATAAGTCTGTATATCTGATGATCCCCCAAAGTTTGTCTCTTTTCACAGTTTATGAGTCTTTGTCAATCAGTCATGCCCAGCACTAGAAACATCCACACTGTCCACACCGTTGACCTCACTGCCTCTTCCAGTTCTGCTATATCCTTTTGGGAGTGAGGCGGCCAACACTGTGCACAGTACTCAAGGTAAACTCTAGGTTTACCTGGGCTGTTACTCAACAGCACAGTGGTGCTTCCTACAACAAAGGACAGCTTGTTGGTAAGATGAGGCAATTCCCCAACTTCAGAGCATTGTGCCAAGGAGTGCATAGACACAGACTGCAACCACCTCCCACCTTCCAGCAGCAAGCCCCATGCTGTTGCAGAGGAGGAGGGACTCACATAAGGGGGACACAGCAAAGCTCAAGGGAAGACAAAATCCAGTGGGAAACTGTAACCCCCAAATCCAAGAAGCAGGAGAATATGAGAGCAAGTGAGGCCAGTGGGCAAATGGTGTGACTTGTTAAAAAAAAGCACAAATAAAGATCAGTTTAAAACCAACCAGATTGTAACACTGGTCCATGAGACTACAGGAGACTGGGTATGTAGACAGAAAACAGGAATAATTTGAAACCACCCCACACAGACTGGGAAACTATCTTGACAGGATGATGAAAACACTCTATTTTTTTGACATTATAAATAACTACTTAAAAAACTGTAATAGAAAAGCAGCTCATCCCCAATGACACATTCTTCAGCATCCTATAGAAGAAAAAAAACCCAAACCCACAGAAATCTAAGCAATAAACTTGGATCTGAAAAAGCAGAACTACATAAAAATCAGTGTAGCAGTAAAAAGAAATAGCTGGAAAGCTGCAAACACTTCCAGGAGATCATGTACAGGTACTATAGGAAAGCATCAGGATACTTACATCATTCATTCAAAATACTTTAAAAGGACTAAAAAAATCAATTTGTTGTTTGGGGCTGAACAGCAGATTAAGGCCACTACTGGCAGTAAAGACAAAAAGGTGAAAATGAATATCCTTCAGAATGTGAATATCATGTTCAAAGGAGCAAAAGAAGAAAAGATCATGAACTTCTGGCAAGTTAAATGTGGAATCATAGGAGGGCAGACCAAAAAACAACTGTGGTAAGCAACTTCCTAGCAGCATGAAAATTTAATTACAACTCTTTTTCAAGTGTTGCAGAAATAGGGCACCTTCCTGAGAGCTTGTGGGGTCAGAGATGCTGAAGGTACACAAGGAACACTCATGACACTAGGCCTAGAGAGGAAAGCCAAATTTTGCAGCAGTGTTACCCGTAAAGAAGCTGAAGGACATAATTCAGCTATTTTCACTTATGAAAGGTATCTCAGTGACTGTCCAACCAGTTCTTTGAAAATAGTGCAGCATTCAGTAACAAGGCAGATAAATATTATGAAAACTAGTGAATAAGACCACAAAAACAGCCTTGCCATGACAAATCCATACTGCACTCCCATTTCTTCAATGCAGTGCAGAAGTCTTGAAAAGGTTATAATAGACTCACACGGACAAGCAACTTGGATAATGAGGGGTCTGAAATAGCTTCTACTCAAGTAAAAACTTCACTTTTTCAGATAGAGAAAGAGGTAATTATGGGATTAGCACAGGAATGGAGGGGCAATAAAATGGTAAGTGGTATGGAGGTGGCAAATAAGGAATGAATTATAACTACTTTGTAGAAAAGAACTAGAGGGCACACAACAAAATTAGTCGGTATCAGGTACAAAACACAATGCACAGAAATAACACCTAAAGCAACACAAGACTATGAAACTCACCCCTGTAGGACAATGCAGGGTCTGGGAGCACAATGGGTTCAAAAAGCAAACAGACAAATGGAGTATGGGTTAATCACAGGCTAACAAACATAAAGACCATACTTTCAGGGTTACAAGTCCCCAAACTGCAGTCAGAAGCCAAACACACAGCCAAACCGCTCTTAAACATTCTCCCCAGGTACTTGCTACTAGCCAGCACCAGGGACCTTTGCTTTGACGCAGCACAACCATTCTTCTGGCAGCACCCCCCAGATTGCTTTTCTGTTTAACTTTTTAAGTTACTTTGAAATCTAAATACAATCCAAACTGTAAGATTGCAAGCTGTTAACAAAGGATGAAAAATTAACTGCTTGGTTTGCAGCTTTCACTCAGTAGACCAAACAAATAAACTGCTCCAATAGCTTCATCTTTCAAGTAATCTTTCTGATCATTTGCTTTAACTTCAGGGGTAGGAGTCCTGGCACAAAAAGGTACCTGAAAGCTAATTCATGCTGCTAATCACCCAGCGACTAACAGCATCACCCCAAGTGATATGCTGTGGACACACAGTCAATACCAGTCCCCTGGTCCTGCAACTCAATTGTACAAAAATTGGATATTGTATAATCCCAGCTCTCCCCTAAACTAGGGCGAGGCATTAATCTGGAACCTTATCTTTATTCATTTTACTATTTATTTATTTATTTATTTATTTATTTATTTATTTTACTAAGATGCTCTCAATTTATGCCAAGCAGCACAAGGAAATGTCTCTGCTTTAGCAGTGAATCCTCTACCAGGCCATGATCTCCTCCAGCCTGGAGTCTGTTCTGCCACAAGGATAAGCACTTACCAGTGGTAACTCTCTTGGCCAGATAACATCATTCCAGCAATGGCAAAGCAGCATCCTTCTTTCAGCCTCAGCGATGTGCATGTAATCAGTGGGAAATACGAGAGACTAACAGGCAGTTTCATGGACAGGCTTTGCTGCCTGCTGGAGAGGTCTGGAAACCAGTGCACAGGGCACCAGCCCAGCTCTGCCCCACTGGCTGTTACTCACCCTAATGGGCAAGGAAACCAGAGAAGCCTTAGCCCATCCAAGGCAGAAATCATTCCAAGAATAACCATTAATTTTGTGAGGAAGGGAGATTGGAAAAAACATCCAACTGTTTTTTCAATGAAAAGCACTCAACTTGGACAGGAAGTCTCCATATCAGCCTAGATTCCTTTCACTTTTCTGGCAGTTTTTACACAGCCAAGTAGGGAAAAAGAGCTCACAGAATGGGGAAGGAGAACAGAGACAGAATGAAGAAAGGAGAGAAGGTAAAGCAGAAAAGGAAAAAACAATTGGAAAGGTGTTGTGCCCCCCCGCCGGGTGGCAACAGTTCAGCTTCTAACTTTGAAAATGAGATTTTTTTTCCCAGAAAAATTACAGTATCTTTTTATTTACACTTTTCTTTGATGCTGCCAAGCTCAAGGGAAATAAGTTTTGAATAAAAACGTTAAAAACATTTTGACCAGCTTTGCCTGAAACAATTGATTAGTGGTGAAGGGCAGAGCAGGAATAGGGAAAAAAAGAAGAGGCCAGCAGCTGGGCAGCAAACAAAGCCAGCCTGGCAGAGAGAAGGTGGCAGCCCCTGACAAGTCTGTGCTCAAGCTAACACACCCAGACCTTTATTCCAAACAAGGCTTATCCTTTGAAGGATGTCCTGTGCTATCTTCTCCAGAGAACCCTATCACATGGTCTAGGTCCCTCAGACCCTGCCAGCTCCCTCCAGTGCGGTCCACAGGGCCTCTCAGGTGCCTGTATCTAGCAACATTAACGGCTGGTGCCGAAAACAGATCAGCAGGCTTGTTAGGAGCCAGTCACCACAATGGTGGTCACCAAGCTGGGTTAATATGACTCCAGCCATGCTTCATGCTCTTGAGTAGCTGCTCAGATATATCTGGTAGTCTCCTTTCAGTGCTCAGATTCATGCTCTTCAATTCCTATTCTTTCTTCTACTAATATAGTACATCTTGCTGGCATCTCTTAACACTCATTTGCTGGCTGGCTGACAGGTCTCAAAAAAGCACGTCTTTCCACTTCGTGCAATTCTGTTTAATCTTGTATGGAGAAGGTGTATCACTTAAGCAACTTTTTCTACCCCTCCTTTTCTGCATGAAAAAAGAAAGAAGTTTGGAAAAAGAATGACAGCAGTGTTTTAACCTAAACGGGAGCAATTTGCATGCAAATCAGATTTTTCAGGTGCCACAGAAGATGTGGGGGCCCTGCCAATCTGGAGGGAAAAATAAAAAGAAGGGTGAATTTGAACAAACACTGTTGAATGATGAACCTGCAACTTTCAGTTTCCTCCCTAGGACAAAGTGTACTGGAGAGAAAGTCTCTTCTGTACTACAACATATTTATTTTCATTCTCATTGACAGTACCATTGTAAGACAAAGAACCTGTTTTTTCTTTTATTTATATGCGTTCTCAAAGCCTCTTGCTTGCAAGTCCTACAAATGTAGTCAATATGTGAGTAGGTGCAGCTGGATATAAAACCAAGTGGGAAGTGGTTTCCTTACCGAACTTGATGAGAAAATGAGTTATACAATCAATAAAGTAGCACCAGACTGTAGAGAAAGAGAGAATCATATGATCTGCTAAACAGCATCCAGACATTATCAGCAATAAATCATGGTGCTATGAAGTTAGCAGAGGCACAACAGAGGTGATAAAGCTGTGGAGAATAGAGGAGCCCCAGGGAAGGCAGCAGTCTGCCACCAGCATTTTAGCTCAACCAGTTCATCACCCCAACAGTATTTCTCCCAAATGTAAGCATTTGTTACACATGGGGAAAAATCCTTATGCTGCAGAGCTGGCACTCTTGTCATAAATAGGGTTATTTGCACC